CAGATATTTATAGTGTTGGGATGTTAATGTGGGAAATATTTGCAGGTCATCCACCATTTGATGATAAAGCTCATAATTGTGACTTAATGTCTAATATATGTGCAGGTTTACGACCACCAATATTACCAGGAATGCCTGGTAATTATGCACAAATGATGCAAAGGTGTTGGGATGTGGATCCAGCCAAGAGACCAACTATTGGTGAGCTTTGGAAATTTGCTAAGAATCATTTTAAAGAAATTATCAATAATAATCATGATAATAATAGTATTGGTGGTAGTAGTAGTGATTCACAACAAGTACACAAATCACACCCATTAGCATATCACACAAGTAGAATATTAAATGACGAATTTGCTAAATTGAATTTAAGTAATGATAGCTTATTAAATTATGAAATATAATTTTAACAGGTAAATTAATAATTGGTTAATTAATTTAAATCTATTAATTTAAACATGATTATTTATTAATTAATCATAATGATAATAGCAATAATAAGTAGTTGATAGATTAAAGTAGAAGAATTGGGTGAATTATTGATGGGTAGATAATTAATTATTTTCTTCATTTATTAATTATCTTTTGCATTTACTATTTAATTTGTTTTGTTTTTATTATTATTTTCAAAAATAAATTTGACTAATTTCTTTCCAATTCAGAATTACACATTTTTATAACTGAATAATTAATATAATACATAATTTTCCTGATGTCATAAGTCAAAATATCTCAAAGTCAAATGTTAAATTCAAAATGAACAATACTACATTTCATTTTTGAAATGTTGATTGTATAGTTGTGTCCCACATGATTGTGATTTTGAAAGATGAGGATGGATAATATAATGTTTTGACTGAATTCAAAATTAAATATTTTAAAGATTCATTTAACAGAATGAAACAAGGAAAAATGGACTTTCAATCCGGAAATGCATCAATGGTTCACTATATGTAAAAGATTTTGTTGGTTATGAAATTTTACGTTTGGATTTATTTATTTTTTTGTTTTTATACCAATCTAGCATATTCACATTATACTATATTCAATATTTTTTACTGTAGGAGAAATTCAATAACCAAATTCCTAATACTAAGGTTCCAAATAATCTGTTAAAAAGAAGATTTTAATATCCCGCAAGATTAGGGATGTGAAAGTTATGACAAGAGAAGCAATTGGGTAAAATTAAGCATCTATAATATTAAAGGAATACGAAACAAAAAAAAATTAGACCCTTTGTTGAAGGCTAATAATAATTTTTGATTTGCAAATAAATACTATTAACAAGCTTACAACCGAGAACGCTTTTTTTATTATTTATTTTAACATCACGTCAACTAAAGCTCTGAACGAGCCAATTCAAGCCCGAGTTTATGTTTAGCTCAAGCCAACTCGAAATTTAATATTATTTTTTTATAAAATCACGATTTTGCAGACCACCGAAAGTAATTGCAGCAATAATAAACTATAATTTGTATAACTTCAGAACATTTGAATCATCATAAATAATTTTATGACTGACTAAAAAATTCCGAAATTTCAAATGAGACAATGTTTTGGAATATATGCATAAGAGAATTGCATTACACTAAAATTACTAATCAATGAATTTTATGTTTTTAAAAATTCACAATAACGCGAATTTAATTATAACAGATAATTCGTTGAAACATTTCACAATGTTTGCTCAGATATTTGCAGAGTATTAAAACGAAATACAATCCGTTTAAAAAATCTTTGTTATTATTGAATTGAGCTAGAATTCCTATAATACAAATCCTCATTCGAATTATTTTTGAATTATTAGTTTTATTAGTTTATTCAAATTATTTTATTCACTTGTTCGTTTATTCCAATTATCCGAATTATTCGTTTTTATTTTATTCGAATTATTCGTTTTGGTTTATTCGTTTTGTTCCTTTTGTATATTAATATTCGAATTATTCGAATCATTCGTTTTATTCGTTTATTCTAATCATTCGTTTTATTCATTTATTCGAATCATTCAAATCATTTGTTTATTCGCTTTATTCATTAAGTTGAGCAGACTCGAGTTAAAACTTGAATTTTCAAGTTAGAGCTGAGTTCAAGAAAATAGCTCTTAAATTGTTTTTAGGCAATGTGCATAAAAAAGCATTAAAATTAATCATCCGTTACTTAAAAAAATTTATGTAGCGTCAGACTCGAGCCGGCTCGGCTCATTCGGAGCTTTAACGTCAACATCAAAGTTAAGTTGGATTTGGATTGCATCTTCTTTGCCGTAAAATGACATCACTCAGGCCAAGACAACAGTTTGTATTATTAAATTCAAAACATATAAATAGGACAGTCGTCCCAACGTTTTTTTTTGAAAGACTTGAATATTTTCATGGAACAAAATCAGATTTTTAATCTTTATTATCATCCCCAAAGAATGATAATTCGTTGTCATCATTTGCTACTAATATGTAATATTATTGTTTAATAAATATTTTTCCTTCTTTTAAATAATAAAATTTAACAAAAGAGAGAGGTCATGTTACGAAGGGTCAATACACCCAGCATGAGCCAACAGTAAGAGTTCCACTATCTCACTTGCTGGGCTTTAATAACACATTTTAAGTGAGTCACATGGATTCGCCATTGCATGGTTTACCCCGGGACGGGTACTAGTAATGGAAAAATGAGCCTTATATACCAACTTTTTTCAAGTTGTGCAAAATATTGGATATGTACAGTTTACAATATTTCATTAGATAAATTCTATTTCATAATTTTTATTGTGTAATCTAAGAAAAAACAATGAAAATAAAAAATTCAATAGGAAAAGTAGAGTTGAATATAGATTGCAAGTTTGTGGAAGTAGCTATTAAATACAAGATGTATGACGACGTACGAAGCTTCCAAAGCAAGTATGTAAAATATACTGATGAATGTTTATCAATTATTCAATAGTTTGTATAGGCACGATCGAGGTAAGCGTTAAAGTCGAGATCTATGGAGCTGTTTGTAAAATATATCCAATGAACGCTTTATTATTATCAATGATTCAATAGACAAGATCTATGAAGCTGTTTCTAAAATATATTTAATGAATGCTTTATCAATTATTAAATAACCATATAGGCGGGTTTGATCAAAATAAGTGCCAAAGTCAAGATCCATTTGCAAATCAAGTTTTCCAAAATGAACGTTTTATTATTCAATGATTATATAGACGGCTTTGGTCAAAGCAAGTGTTAAAGTCAAGATCTATGAAGCTGTTTGTAAAATATATTTAATAAACGCTTTATCAATTATTCAATAATCATATAAGTAGGATTGATCAAAGCAAGTGTTATAGTCAAGATCTATGAAGCTGTTTGCAAATATATTTAATGAACGTTTTATCAATTATTCAATAATTATATAGACGAAATAAGTGTTAGTCAAGATCTATGAAGTTTGCAAAATGATGTTTATCAATTATTCAATAAAAATTTTGGCGTGTTTGATCAAAGTAAGTGTTAAAATCAAGATCTATGAAGCTGTTTGTAAAATATATTTAATGAACGTTTTATCAATTATTCGATAATTATACAGGCAGGCTTGATTGAAGTAAGTGTTAGATAAGATATACGATAAATGTATAGGCATGATCGAAACATTTTAGTAATAAACAAATAATCAATCCAATTGTCAATTAGTTAGTAATAAACAAATAATCAATTTAATTGTCAATTAATTAATTAAACACATAATGCTTTTCTTAAAAGCAAACAATAAATCAATGGTATAGTAAAAAAAATATTTTTTTAGCATAATCTTATAAAAGAATCAACGGTATGATCTTCATCACACTAACTAAATGTTAAAGATGCTTCGCCACCACTAAAAAAAGCAACATATATAACAACAAAAAACAATAATTGACTTGTTGAAATTAAATAGCTCTTCTTAGAATGTAAAAATAAAACAAATTCATTCATACCAAACAGTTCTCTTTGGGTTGGAAAAGGATAATATTATTATTATTGCATGATAAACGTTTATCACGTGGAAAAATGTACATTGAAACTGACACATCCAATGAATGCAGTTGTCAGTAACAACTAGATTCAGATATCATGTGTTGAGATCTTAAACTTGAAGTAGTTAATTCTTGTTCTTTAGACATCGTTTTTGATGATTATTGTTTTTAGAATGATTTGGAGTTTTATCATTTTTTTTTCAATATCTCATTTATTTAATTAATTAATATTAAAAATGATTTAAAATAACTGGTTCTTTTTGATGCATGAATATGCGATCTACAAAATTGGTAACCTCTGTTGTACAAAAAAAAATTTTTTCTTCTTTGGCGACATATCATCTCATCATTTGCATCATTATTACAATGTAATGGGACCCCCAACAATTTTTTGAAACAATTTTCCAAAAATCCAAGAAAAAGTCAATTTCGTTCTAACAGGAAAAGTTGAAATAGCCCAAAACATTAAATATTGATAGAAAGGCCAGCCAATACAAAACGTGTCAGAATTCAACTGATTTCTAACGATTTTGGCCAAATCGTTAGGATCAGCAGCCCCATGAATTTTATTAGAAGGTACATCAGCTCGAAACATATTCGTGTCTATTGCTCCAGGTACTATCACAGATACTTTTACATTATCAAAAGATGCTATGTAACGAAGATCTTGTGAAAATGTCGTTAATGCTGATTTTGTTGCATTATAATAACAGTTACCTGGCATACCGAAAAAGCCAACTACAGATGATGTTACTGTGATAGTTTTTTATTTATTTTTTATGATTAGTATATTTTTTTATTTTTAATTTCTAGTATTTTATTCATAGTGTATTTGTTTATTTTTTTTTTACCTGCAATTTGTCCAAATCTTCTTCCTTTCATTCTTTTATAAACTGTCATTATAGTAGCAATATTGCCGGTGTAGTTGACATCAATCAATCGTTGCCATCCATCTTCCCATGGAACAGTATCAATATTATCTCTAGTAGAACCTGCTTGAGCTATATTGTTTTTTAAATCTTATAAATAAATATAAAGAGACATGGCGCAAATTACGTAATTCCGTTTACATAATAATGGTAATAGTTATATACCTGCATTTGAAAACAGCAATTCAATTGGATGGGAATCATCAAAGTTTTCTAAACTTTTTTTCAATTCTTCAATGTTTGAAATATCCACTTTCAATAAAACACAATTTGCTCCTTTTTCTTTGCAATGTTCTGCTACTTGATTTAATCGTGCTATATATAGAACATTATTATTAATTATTATTATTATTATTATTATTATTATTATTATTATATTATTATACTATTGCTAATATAATGAATGTACCTTCATTTCTACCCAATAAACCTAAAGTCACTCCAGGTGCCGCATATTCAACTGCAAAAGCAGCACCAATACCAGTGCTATAAATATTAAATACATTAAAGCATTGGATATATATATTTCTGAAAGAAAAAAATTATATAATGAACAAACCTTGCACCAGTAATAAGAATTACTTTTGGAGTTGGAATTTCTTGTCTTGATTTATTACCAAATAAATTAATCAAATATTTACCAACATCCAAAATAAAAACGATGATGTTCAAAGGCAAGATTATAAGTATATAGGCTAATATAGCAACAATCGTTTGGATCAACGGGTGAAAAATTGGCGGAATTGTAAAACCCATTATTATTATAATAATAGTGATGGGATAAAGGTAAAGAAAAAAAAGGAGGTGGTATATGAGAATTTTTTTTACTAATTTATAATATATATATATATAGTAAGACTTAATTCTGAAAATCGTGCGACGATATAGAAAGTACTTTAAGCAAGTTTTAGAAAGGAAGGGGTTGGTTGATGTAAGCCACATCAAAAAGTAATGGTTTTGTTTGCAAAGGTCCTTTTCACTCATGAATTAATCGGAAAAGTAATTGTTTGCAAGTAATTATAGTGTATTCTTTGTCTTCACGGCAAAAAAAAAAAAAGATATACATTGATTTTTTTTTATTCTTGTAAATAATTATTAAATTCATGCTGGTTTCAACACAGAGAGAAAAATGAAGCACAAGTTAAAAGGTTGCAAGAGGAAAAAAAAAACGAAAATAGGAAGGTTTTACGACCTTGGAAAGAAAATAAATACATTCATTGATCTCCAAGTCAATTTTTACACAAAAAAAAAAAATGAACAGTTGTAATTTAACATCTCTCGAAAATAAAAAATTACCTTTCCCAAAAAATCAAGTTAACAAAAGGTGATTTTCAACATCTTCAACATCTCCTCAACATCAACATCAACACGCCATATCGACTTCTCTCCTCTCTTCCTGGCATGGTCACATCATGATCAATAAAGGAAGCTGTTTGTAAAATATATTTAATGAATGTTTTATCAATTATTCAATAATTATATAGGCGGGTAAGTGTTAGATAAGATCTACGAAAAATGTATAGGCATGATCGAAACATTTTTAGTAATAAACAAACAATGCAATTGTCAATTAGTTAAATGCACAGCACTTCGTTTTTAGTAATGTTGTACGTGAAAATGAAATTATGTGAATTCGCAATTCACGTATGTGAAATTCAAATTAACCAATCAGAATTTCACCCCACTCCATAATATTTCAATTTCACATACAACAGTAATAAACAAATGATCAATTCAATTGTCAATTAATTAATTAAACGCATAATGCTTTTCTTAAAAAGTAAACAAATCAATGGTATAGTGAAAAAAAAAAAAGTTTTTTAGCATTTTTAGTTAATAATCAATTCAATTATCGTATTATCTGGAATATAAGCAATACAATTTTAACACATGTTTTAGTCGATAAAAAACTGTAGGTGGTGCTTATATTCGAGACATTTGTTTGTGTTACATTACGTTTCCTTATCATTTGTGTTAAGTTCTAATTCATTTTTTCCCACAGCAATGCCAAAAGTCGAACGCCCTTCATATTCTGTTGCCGAAAACCCCAAGTATTGTATTATGCAAAACAATATGGTTTAAGACCAGCTGAGTGTCATTTTACTATCAATCCTTCAATGATTTCTCTTGGCAAAAAAAAAAGAGAAAGAACTCGATTTAGTAAAAGAAAAAAAAGAAGACGAATTGGTAATAATTTAGGAAGAAAAGCATGTCAAAAAATGTTTCGAAATATAGATGTTGCTTATATTTATTATTCTATTTTTGTTGCAAATTCATACTGTTGCTTATATTCGAGCGTTGCATTCCAGACAATACGGTAATTAATAACGCTTTTCTTATAAATAAAATCAACGGTATGATCTTCATCACACTAACTAAATATTAAAGATGCTTCGCCACCACTAAAAAAAGCAACATATATGATAACAAAAAACAATAATTGACTCAATTGTTGAAATTAAATAGCTCTTCTTAGAATATAAAAATAAAAAGTTCTCTGGGTTGGAAAAAAATATTATTATTATTATTGCATGATAAGTGTTTATCACGTGGAAAAAAGGTGTTAACATTGAAACTGACACATCCAATGAATGCAGTTGTCAGTAAACAACTAGATTCAGGTATCACGTGTTGAGATCTTAAACTTGAAGTAGTTAATTCTTGTTTTTTCAGACATCATTTTTGATGATTATTGTTTTTAGAATGATTTGGAGTTTTTATCATGGGTTTTTTTTTCAATATCTCATTTATATAATCAATTAATATTAAAATAACTGGTTCATGAATATGCGATCTACAACATTGGGTAACCTCCGTTTTACAAAAAAAAATTTTTACCTTTTTTGGCGGAAAAATATTTATTATCTCATCGTTTGCGTCATCATTACGATGATGCAACGGTTCTTTGAACCGATTTTCCCATAATCCAAGAATAAGCCAAATTCGTTCTAACAGGAAAACTTGAAACAAGCCAATTCAATAAATATTGGCGGAAAGGCCAGCCAATACAAAAAGTGTCAGAATTCAACTGATTTCTAACGATTTTGGCCAAACCGTTAGGATCACCAGGCCCATAAAATTTATTAGAAGATAGATCAGAATTTCGAGTCATGTTCGTTTTTATTATTCCAGGTGCTATCACAGACACTTTTACATTATCAAAAGATGCTATGTAACGAAGATCTCGTGCAAATGATATTAATGCTGATTTTGTTGCATTGTAATAACAGAGACCTGGTATGCTGAAAAAACCAGCTATAGATGATGTTACTGTAATAGAATTTTTTATCATGATTAGTAAATTTTTTAATTTTTTTAATTTCTAATATTTTATTCATTTATTTTTTTTTTACCTGCAATTTGCCCAAATCTTCTTCCTTTCATTCTTTTATAAACTGTCATTATAGTAGCAATATTGCCGGTGTAGTTGACATCAATCAA